AAGTTGAAGTCCACACGTCTTAAAGTTGCCAAGGCTGAGAAACCCTGTCCTAGACTGTTGAGGGCTTTCAGTCAGAAAACTCTGCATGAACTAAAGCTGAGGAGACTTTTCGAGGCTGATGCTTCACTTTCATAAAGGACCATGCTTTTGAAGTTGCTTTGTGGAGCTACTCAGCCCCTTGCTTCAGTCCCCACCACGGCCTCCATAGACACTTAGCAATAGCTAGAAGAGGCTTCAACACATACCAGCACCTGCCAAATAGCTCTCGCAAGTGCCAGAAGAGGTGAAGAGAGGACACAAAGCACTTTGTCAAAGCAAATTTGCCTTATGTCATCTTTGCAATATAAAGGCCCTCATCAGAGCTAATTCATCCAGAGCCTCGTATGTGGCATTAAAATTTACCCCATTGGATTTTGCTGGAAATTAAAACTTACACTGACTGGGTTAAAAATGTCCTTGTGGCAATAGCATTATTAGGATGTTTTTGTCCCAGCATTTTTTTTTTATAGAGGGAAAAAAACCTCTGTCAATGGCAAGTTGCTAAAATGTAGCGTCATTGCCCCCTTCAAACTAGCAAATGATGCCATATGAAGACTGTTTTATACATCTACTTCTGCATGAATTATGCAGTGAAACATGCATTAGCACCATAATATTCTTAAAGGTCACATTGAGGCTAACAAGTAGTTGAGAAAATAATCAGTTGTCCTGTCTTCATATACATGTATTGCACAGCACACTCTTAAAAGACATAAATTGTCTTCACCACAGTTCAAATACAAAAATCAAATGCAGTGATGAGATTGCTACTGCTATTTAATATGCATATGTCAGTTCTCATAACCTCCCTGTTACGCCCTTAACGCAATTTGGTTGAAGTTAAGCTCAAACTGGGGACTTCTCATAATGCTACCCAATGTGCTGTGGTGATGGTGGTCCTTGAGAATTTTTTTTCAGCTCTGGTTATCTCTATAAAGCATTGAGAATTATATCTTATGAAACTTAGTTTTAAAATCATTATGCTTTTAAGGCAATGTTAATTCCAATTTTAAATAAGTATATATTGACTGGTATTCATATTCCAATCCAATCATATGTTCTGAAGAAACAAATGGTAATTTATATCATTTCATAAAATGGAATCACAGAGATTTAGGAATCATTGTAGGATAAACAGAAAAAAAAAATGAACTTATGATCTATGATTTACAATTGTACTTAGAACTGCTGTAAAGAAGATTGGAAGCCACTTCTTTTTATCTTTTTTCTTTCTTTTCTATTTTTCTTCTACTTTTTTCTTTTTGCACTTTATCTTTCTTTTATTTCTTCCTTTTCCTTTTTTCTTTCTTATTCTATTTTAGTTTGTATTAATTTTTACTCTTGTTTTAAAACTTTCAACAAAATTATATTTTTTTAAAAAGGAATCATTGTAGGATGACCTAGAAGATCCCTAAAACTCTATTATTACCTTTACCATCAAAATGTTTCTCCAGAAGTTCAGCTTAAAATTGTCCTTCTATAATTTAAGCCCACTACATCTAATCTTTACTTTGAATATGATCTTCCCCATCTGTAGTTGTTCTATACTAAATCCCCATCCTTTCAACAAATTTCTCATAAGGTATATTTTAGGCTGTAGATTATATCCCTTGTCTTCCTCTAAATTTATTCCAGTTTGTCTGTCTCTGTCTAAAATTGTTGTCTCAGAACGTCACATAATAAAGTTATGTGACAAAAATTTATGCAATGTAATAAAAATTTCCTGCTCAAATAAAACACCAAACTAGGAGGATTCACTGAAATCCATTGATTTATGAGAAAACTCAGAACAGGATCCCCAAGCAAGTAGTTTCTGAGTAAAATGAAATAATAAAATAAAATAAAATGCTACATAATTCCAGGAGGAATCACATGCAGAATTTCCCTGTATTGCAAGAAGAGCAGTAACGTATTAAGTGGGTGGATGTCATTATTCCAACTGAGAAATATCCTTCTCCACCTTGTAAAATAGCTCTTAAATAATTTTTTTTTTCAGTTTGGATAGCTAATAAATATGAAAAAGATGTTGAGATGCTTTCTTCTCTCATCTCATTCACCACCACAATGTGCTGAGTGTGTAGGGTCTGCATTCTGTACATTGTGAAGTTTCCATAGTAACAGTTGAAAACTGACAAATGAGTTGTGATCTTGCCTGCTAGGTAAAGATAAAAGCTGAGTAACAAAAACAACAACTTGTAGTTATCAACATTTGGAAGACAGTTTGTGTGATGCAGAAGGCCAGTGAACTCAAATTGAAGCCTCCATGATATCCAATTCATACTGTAGTTTCTCCAACTGTACAATTAACTGAAATTTGGTGTGTCCTGTGGAAGATACCGGATGATAGCTTGTGTTAGAATCTGGACTCAGAATACAAAATGTTTGCCTGTGTTGTGAAAGCATATTGTCTTTCATTGTGAAAGTATGCACAGGCTCAAGTAGGATATCCTGGACAGCAGTTCTGCACAGAATTTACATTGATAAATTATTAG